CTTTTTGCTGGTTAGAATAGACCAGAATACTTAGGTCATGTTTGGGAGTGCTTATGTTAAAAATAAGCACTTAAAAACAAGTGTTTATTCGAATAAATACTTATTTGCATTTGGCACCCAACTTTTTTAAGTGCTTACTTTAAAAAATAAACACTTACTTCATATTGGGCATTTGGTAGTTTTTTTTTTCAAATAAGCAATTAAATAAGCATTTGTGACTATTTTGTCCTTCAATTTCTTTTGAATTTTCAAAATATACCATTATGAAATCACTTTTATTAAATTACTTTTATAAAAACACTTTTATAAACACTTTTATGAAAATACTTTTACGAAAGCAATTTTATAAAAGTACTTTTATGAAAGCACTTTTATAAAAACACTTTTACAAAAGTACTTTTATGAAATCACTTTTATAAAAAATACTTTTACGAAAGCACTTTTACAAAAGTGCTTTTATAAAATTCAAATAGGGATAATTTTATAAGTGATTTTAAAATTCAACTAGGGATAATTTTGGAAGAAAAAAAAATTGAATAATTGCTTATTGTACAAGTACTTAAAAAAGGTGGAAATTTGGGCTAAAATATAAGCCCTTATATTTAAAATAAGCACTTATTTCAGGCTTATTTACTAAACACCAAGTCACCAATAAGGCCCTGTTTGATGATTAAGTACTTGTTTGGTAACCCACTTTTCAAATCACTTATTATGTTTTTAAGTACTTATTGGGGTGGAAATGTTTGGTAAGATACTTTCCCCATAAGTGCTTATATTTATTCAAATGACAATTTTAACCCTCACTTCACTCTTACATATATACAATACTTTTCACATGTTATACTACATATTTCAACTGAGAGCCCACATGGACCTCCACGTGGGCTGTCATGTGGATCCAATTAATAATAATAATAATAATAATAATAATAATAATAATAATAATAATAATAATAATAATAATAATAAATAAATAAATAAATAAATATATACTGGTACACATGTCCTTCGAAGAAAGAAAAGAGGCAGATAATTCCCGCCATTTTTTTGTATCATCTATAAAACATGTACTCAGTACTCAGTAGTCACTTTAATAACTATCTAAGCATGGAGAAAGTGATGGAAGCCCTTCTGATGTCGACGAGATCAATCCCATGGAAACCAATCTCATCAAAATGAGCATCAACATGGATGCCATGTTTTAGTAACATCTCCACCAATTCCTTTTGTCTGTCAGTGCTAACGTCCCCACCAAACCCCCTCATGAAGCACTTCCCCAACAATCTAATCATGTCAGTAGTACACCCTTCCACCATGGGGTTACAGAACTCGTGGTCTCGATCCGCTCCCACCGGCAATATTGACTTCCAATACTGATCCATCATGGACAGAGGCAATATCAGATCGTTGACATATTGCAGCTCTAATCTTGTCCTCTTCACCCCACCAAACACAGGCTGGCTCAATACCCACAAAACTTCACTGGCTCAAGGTCTTGTCCCAAATAGCTTTTAAGGCTTTCAGTCATTCTTCCTCTGAAGCGTTTTCAGAACTCGGAAGCAAGAGAGAGAGAGAGAGAGTTGTAGAAGAGCAAAGCAGCGTAAGGGTGTAAGGGCGTGAAGTGGATTCTAGGAGGGAAGTAGGAAAGGGATCGCGTGAAGAGGGACTGAGCATGAAGTGGATTCGAGGGGAAGAAGATGGTGAACAGTGTTTTTTGGGCATAGGGGTATTTTAGGCATTATAAAAATTTATTAGGGACTGATTTGTCCTATTTTTTTAAGAAGTACTTCTTCAAGAAGTATTTAAAGCCTACTTGAAACCACTTTTTCAAAGAAGTACTTCTTTAAGGAAAGTACTTCTTCCCACTTTTTTACCAAACACCTAGAAGTACTTAAAAACCACTAAATGTGTGGTCCCATGTCTTAAAAGAAGTACTTCTTCTAAGTGTTCTCAAACAGGGCCTAAGTGCTTAATGGTGTGGTCCTAGCCCAAATAAGCACTTATTTTTAAGCACTCCCAAACATGGCCTTAGTAGGTTTGTGGCTTTTTTTGTGTTATTAATAAGTAAAGAATGCATATTAGTGTTTTTTTAGGTGTCCTATTCTAGACCTGATATACCAACTTTTTTATTTAGCATCATTATCTGAGGTTGGCTTCAGTGCTCACAAGATGGTGCTCACACTGTTTGCACAACCTTTACATTCGTGCATTAGGAATATATCCGTACTTGTATGCTTTATTTGATGGGTAGGTTTTCCTAATGCAAGGTTGCAAGGGAGTGTGCAAATAGTGTGAGCATGGTCTTGTGAGGACCAAATATGATTTCTCATAACTGAGGGGTAACCCAGTTGGTGTGCTGGGTGAATTGTCCCAGTAATGGTGTGGTTTTGAATTCTGCTATTATCATCTCTGTAAGAAAAGAGTTGTTGATGTGACTCTCCTATGAGATTTGTTACTACCACTTGGCAGGGCTTTGGCTGATCAAACCCTCCACCCCCCATCTCCCGTGAATTTGATGAAAACCCAATTGATATTTGTAAGCACCTCCGATATTAGTTGATTGGTTATAAGTTTGGGTTTTAAAAGTATTATCGCTATGTCTTGAATTCTTTATCATTACTTGTTTATGAATCCACTTTGATTAAGTTGAGAAAAACTTAAAGGCAAAATTTCATAGTGGTTTGTAGTGGAAGCATAGGGCTTGGGCCGCTAGGGTGTGAACTGAATATGAAGAGTTATGTATTTTGGGGGTTTTCTCTCTTGTATACTTGGTCTTTGTGTTGTGAGAGAAGTCATGAAAAATTGGGTGTATTTGGAGTTTAGGGTTTTCTGTAAGTGAGGTTGTGAGTGCACAATTCTGTATTTTCTCCATTGTTGATTTCTCAATGGATTTCTGATCCTCCTTCGCCCATAGGCATAGGCTATAAGCCGAACCATGTAAATCTGTGTGTTATTTTTGTTTGTTTTTCTTTATCTGTATTTATTTGTTTTTGGGTGCCATTTGAATCTGCATTTTTGGGTTTTGGGAAACAGAAAGATTACTTATAAGTTTTATATCATAATCTGACCCTTAGTTTAGATTTCAGATAATAAAGAAAGTTTTATGGATGATGAGTACTTCATTTGAAAAATAGAAAAGGAATTGACTAATCCTATCACTATTGTTTAAAATAAATCTTTTAAATATCCCTAAATTTTATAACAATTGGCTAATTCTACCCTTACTGTTAGTGTTCCATCGCAATCCATTCACATATGATGGTAAGACTGTCATAATATCTTAGAAGCCCAATTTTACTCACTCCTTCACCATCTCTAACCATGAGAACAAGGATGTGAAACATGGATAAACACATCACTAGTAAACTATAGCGGATGTTTGTATGGCTAAAGAAGCTTTGATTGTGCTGCTTTGGAGAAGGCAACATGTTTAAGCAAAAGAAGCAAACGCCACCTGACTGCAAGATGTAAATGTTGCATAACTGGGTTGTAAAGCTTGCATATGCAGAGTTAATCAAAGCTGTCATCAACCAACCTGTAAGCAGTGCTTGCATCAAACTCCTCTAGGAACATGTTTTTCTTGGCAGGTGCATAGAAGAGATTATAAATTATATACCTTAACATGACCTCACCTAACAGCTTAAAAATTTGAACAGTTCTTTGAGGTGGTATTGCAGCCTTTTGACCAAGTGGTATAGTATTCGATCTCCATTGCTCTCATTATAGTAATTAAATTTCAGCATAGAGCATGGATAGGTCCTCATGTGAGGGAGCCTTACATAGATACCTCACCTTATAGCTTAAACTTTCAGATCGAATGGTTCATTGAGAATTGTGTCGGTTTTATCTCTATTTCTTTCAGTGTACCATCCTTGTTTCTTAACCATTGAAATTTTAGTTCTAAAATGAAAGGTGACTCATATAAATCCACTGGTACCGAATGTTAGATCTTCATTAGTTTTGCCTCCATTAGCATAAAGAGTTGGCTGGCTAACTGAATGGCCCACCATGTGATCGATGTTTTTGGGAAGGATTAATGGTGTTATTTGCATCTTCTTCAATGATTTAAGAAGATGAGGTAAGACCGATTGCAGCAAGGGAAAAACGACATCTTAGAATGAAAATCAATCAGGAAGATAAAAAGTATGGGTGCTTATCGGTTACATGACCATCAAACTTTTATTCAAAAACGCTAGATTTCAATAATTCTGGGATTGGAGCAATTGCAACAATTTAGGCAATCACAAAATTAAAAGACAAAATGATGTTTTTTCTAATGTTAACGTTGCGAAAATTTAAATTAGAACTAAGGATAAAATGGTCTTTTTATCTTTCTATTAATGGTTAATAGGATTGTTAGAGATTTTTTTAGGGAGAATGACCGATACCGCCAGTATCAGAATTTGTAGGTTCAATATAGGATTGGGATAGATGCCAAATAGGAATTGATATCAATTCACGAACAGACAATGTAGGTATCGGTTCATTTTTGAATGTTTATAGCCCAATCCTTACTTTTCCGTTTTTTTTTTTTAAACAGTACGGATAAAATAGACTTAATACTAGTATATATGTTTTCCCAAAAAAAATGCTAATGTGGCCCTTACCGGTCGAACATTTAGTATAATTTATTAGGAAAACCAGAACCCCTCAACAAACTCAACGGGAACACGCCAAAAAAAAAAAAGTTTACGTACGGCCTGTACGGTTGATGAAGAGATGAAACTTGTCTGCCACGAGCTTTGTGGTATTCACCATAAGACAAACATGATTAAGATGTATCGTGGTGGCATTTAAGTGATAAGGTTTCATAAAATAATAATTCCATCCTTCCTCGCATGACATTCTAATTATAAAGACGTACTTTAGATTAATTTAATCGATAATCCAACTAATAATAAACTGGTGATTTGTTACAATCAATTAACTATTTATTAAGACTAATCAATAACCAATTAATAATAAACTCCAGTACTTGTGTCTTACAATAAAAGCCCAAGACGATGAACTCCTTATCATCCAAATCCAATTTCAATTCCTTCGTATGGCAAAAGTGTATCCTGGGAGTTCTTCTTCTTCATCATCGTCCAACTTAACATCGAAAAGAGAGGCTTTTACCATATGGATGAAATCGCTTGTGCTGCATGGTAGTGGTTGCACCGTCTTTGATTCAAAAGGAGAGATTCTTTATCGTGTTGACAACTACAATACGAAGGGTAACAATCAAGTTTATCTCATGGATCGTAGAGGCCATGTCCTCTTTTTAATACATCGGAAGGTAACAAATAATAGATCATGGCATTTAGTGTATATAATTATAAATAGAGGTTTGGTTTTCATGATTTCACTGTTTGTGTAGAAAGGGCGAGTGTTTGGAGTTGGGTGTTGGGAGGGCTACAAATGCGATGCCGATGGTACTGAAGAGATCAGTATGAAGAATCCATGTTTCCAAGTCAGAAAGTTTTGCAGGATTTTAAAGCCAAACCCTTCCTATAAAGTTACTCTGGGTCTGGGGTGTGACCATCAAAATCCATCGGCTTTCTACAGTATTGATGGATTGGTTGGAAAATCAGCCTACAAGATAGTAGAAGAGTCGGGGAAACTTGTAGCGGAGGTATAAATCCCACGTTAATTATTTGGTTGCGTTAAAGTACTTTTCTACTTTATTTTCTCATTTCTTCATTCATTTTTTCTGGGTTTCTACTTTATTTCCTGGAGCAGGTAAAGCAGAAGCAATCTTCCTCAGGAGTTGTATTGGGAGAAGATGTATTGGCTTTGGTTGTGGAACCCCACGTCGATCACTCCCTTGTTATGGGTATTGTTGTTGTGTATGGCCTAATCAATCACCAAATCTAACTACTTTATTCTCCTAATATCTACACATGAAACCCTAAGGCTTCTGGAGATGGAAGACATCATTATATATGAGTAATATACATGCATGTGCATATATGTCTGTTCTTTTTTTCTTTGTAACTGAGTATTCCAGAAAAAAAAATCATCAAGTTTTTTAGTTCAATATTGTCTCAAGAAAATTCGATCACCACGACCGCAGCAGATGTGAGCTCTATGGGTACTAGGAAGGAATAGCGTACGACCAACCTAACGTACGACACATCTTTCAATAGAGCTTGATAAATACAGTGATCCAACCATCGAATAACAGATTGATTACTTACGGAAATATGCGCCCCACAGCATATTTCAGCGTGTATTAATTGAGAACATTTTCTGTAATTGTCATTGAAAGATGTTCCTAATACACCGTTGAGAATTCAGTTTTATCATCAGTTTGATGTACATACCAAGAAAAAGGGAAGATCAACAAACTGCTGGTTCTCCATGTTTGCGCCTTTGGGTGTAAAGTGATGCTATTATTCTACTTATCAAAAAGAAAAAGAAAAAAAGTGAAGATATTCCATTGCATTAGCTTTGTCTGTTCTGTTTTTTTTTTTTTCGAGTCTTGTCTTTTATTTTTGAGAGGTCTAGGCTAGGTACCTAAAATTAATATGAGAGTCTTAATTTGCTGTTGCTGGTGGAGGTATTTGGCCTTCTCCTGCATCTCCAAGTAAGCCATGGATTCTTGCATATTATTTTTATGGATTGGGGTTGTCATGAAATATATAATTTCTTCATAATCCTTCACTTTGCATCTAGGTCTCGGTTCTCTTGTTGATGGACCTTGAAATATTCTTTGTTGGGGGCATATGATTGCCCTCCTTTTTGGCATTTCATCACTATTTACACCACTTGCAGAGGTTTTTCTGGCTGTCATCTCCTCATTTTAGGTGTTGTTTTCTTTCACTTTCTTCTACTAGTATTTCAGTTTGAGCATTTATGAAGGAATGAAATGTGCCTAATAAGCATTAAAAAAAACAAAAGAGGCCAAAATTAAAATTAAAACTGGACTATAAACTATTCGAATCAAATTTGATAAGGGGTCAATTTCATTCGATTCAATAAAATTTTAGGACATTCAAATCTGACTTTAACCCGCTGGATTTTACAATTCATGATTCGAATTTAACCATTTATCTTAACTAATATCCAATTCAAATCCGATAGTTACAGGAAGAGGAGAAAGACTTGCATTTTGCAGCCGTAAGTGGCAAACTGGCGGTGGCGGACTACTGGTTAGTTGCAGGTTGCAGTTGAAGCGTCCCTCTAAAGAGGTGAAACAACGGCACTGTGCAGCGCAGGATTGGCAATCGCTGGTCGGAGTGGACTGGTGTTGGGTCTGGTGGGAGGGGGGACTTCATAAAAATATAAGATTACAAAAATTGAAAAGAAACTTAAGTATAAATCTAAAGGGTATAAATGCCATACAAAATTATATCTTAATAAAACATATATAAAAATTAACATATCGGAACTACGGGACATTTCCAATTTGATCCGTTAACTTAAATGGATCAGTTTTCCAATTGAATCTGATTTGTTAGGATTAAGGGATATTCAAATCCGGGCATAGATGTCGATTTGATTTTCTCAACCACCGGATTTTGGGAGGGGGGGATATTAGTAGTGTGTATCACCGAATACCAAAAATAATCGGGTTCAGTCAAGCTTTGAGGGGAGGGAATCAAGCGGCCCTCCTGCTCATGGTTATCTCTTCTTTCTTAGCAAGAGAGGTTAATGGCCGTCCCTTTCACGACTATTGCGTGGTTTGCAGAGATTTTTTGAATTGTTTACTCTCGGTGCTCGTGGTTATCTCTTCTTTCTTAGCAAAATTAGTTTATTTGTTGGCATTGTATTTTTTGATTTTCTTGCTATTTATGCTTCATGGATTATAATCTAAGCATTTATTTTATGAATGAATTTCGCCTGGAAGGCTTAAAAAAATCCGATTATTTTGAATTGGATTACGATTTGGTCCAATTTAGGCAGTGTTTGGTATGACTTCTGTTTATCAAATAAATGATGCCATATCATCACCAAATCAGCATTTGTTCCATTATAGGGTTTTGTACGCATAATTATGGATAACTTTTGGCCTTGATTTACGGTCTGGTCCACACCCCAATTTCTCATTCACGGCAAAATCTCATGGTTAGGGACCGTCCACACTTGATTTTTGGTCCCCTACTTCACACTTTTCCTGAAAGGCTGAAACCCTATTGTCTGTTTCACTTTTCAATATTTTTGTCAATAAAATATTAATTATTTTACATAAATTTTTAATTTTTATCAATAAAATAATATTTTCTAAAATTTTAATTATTTTACTATTGCTTTTATAAAAAAATTAATATTTATTGGTTAATATTAATTCATTGATGCATTTTTCAATATATTTATCATATAAAATGCAAAAATTAGATATTTATAATTAACTGTGTAGATCAAGGTTTTCGAACCACCGTTGACCCAGACGATCAGATCGTTCGGCTCAGGAACCGTCCAGGCAAGTAGTTCCATTTTACCCCAAACCCAGATTTTGGCCAAAAGCCGTTGAAAAAGTCAAGAACTCGTTGACCCGAGCGGTTGAACCGTCGACTCATTCAACGTTTTTTACCATATTTTTTAATTAATTAATTTTTTTTTAAATTGTTTGTCAAATAAGCTATCCGTACGATCCGAACGGTCAGACCGTTGACTCGAAAATCGGTGGCCAGAACGGTTCTGTTTTTTGGTCATTTTTTAAAATGATGGTGTAGATCATTCATAAATGTATATGAGATACATGGAATCAAAAAGTGTATTGTGGATTGGTCCACACCACGCCTATAGAACGCCACTCTAGGTGTGGAGTGGTCTAGTGCACACAATTTGTCCATAGTTCAAAACAACTGTAGAATGTGGTGTAGTGTGGATTGGTCCCTACCACAAGATATGGTGTGGATTAGTCCACACCCACCAATTTCTCATCCACACTACAGAACATCCCCTAAGTGTTTATTTACTACTTCGCTGAGGTTGTGCCTAACAGTGCCTAGTGGCATCTAATTATCAACAAATTGTGGCAAAACACTTATAAAATATTGTCTCTCAATTTTGAACACAATTCAAGTACAAAGATTTATTTAATAAACGGAAGCCATGCCAAACATATACTTAGTTGCAACCGTAGTTAAAACCATATGCCTCACCCGAAATATTAAGAAGAGTATGTAGTCACTTTATAAAAATAGTAAAAATAAAAAGGAATTTTATTGATTAAAAAAGAAAAAATTTCCCATATCTACCTCTTCATGTTTTTGCAAGAAAGATGACGACTTTCATTTTGTAAGGCTAATCACGGAATGGATGTGCTCTCCATCCATTAAACATAATCTATTCATGCGAGTAGATTGACGGTCTCACGTGCAAGTAGCTCGTGCATGTAGATGGAAGCTAAACAGGACGGTCTCACGTGTAAGCTAAACAGAGCAACCAATCCATGCAAGAATCCCACATGGGTTTTGAGTCTCCCTCTCCGAGAGAGCTCCTTAGCCTTTCGAGTTTCCTTATTTTGAGTTTCCCTGCCATTATGAAGGGAGAACGAACTAGGCCTTCCTGTTTTTCTCTTTACGCTACTGTCTGGCGAGCTTCGATGGCCCTCTTTACGCTACTGTCCGAAGGGGAGCCTGTCTCCTCTTCGAAGATTCTAGCGACCTTCCTGTTTTGCCCTTCAAGATTTTGGTGACCTTTGGTGGCCCTGTTTACGCTGCTGCCCAAAGGAGAGCATGTCTCCACTTCGAATGAAGGTCTCGATGGCCCTGTTTTGCTTTCCCCTCCTTGGTTAGCCCTCCAAGATTCTTGTGACCTTCGATAGCCTTGTTTATGTTGTTGTTTGAAGGAGAGCTTGTCTCCTCTTTGAAGGAAGGTCTCGATGGCCCTGTTTTTCCCTCTCTGTTTTGCCCTTCAAGATAGCCTACCTTGATCAGGAGATCTTGCTATTTTCTAGCGACCTTCCAAGGAAGTATAATCAATTCTTTTTGCATGGACACATGTACTACATGCTACCTCGTAGATCTTATCAATGATAAATCTGATAGATTATGTCCGCCCGTCACTTGCAGTAGTTCTCATCTAAGAATTATTTTACTGTATTTTTTTGCATGCTCAAATGGGAATAATTGTGTAAAGTGTCTGTGCCTTCGTATTTCAATGGGATTTTTTATTGTATTTTTTTGCATGCTTGACTGTGAAAGTGTGTCTCTTCATATTTCAGTGGGATTAATCGTGTAAAGTGTCAGTCTCTTCATATTTTCAGTCAGTGTTTGATTGACTAGGTGAATAGCCATAATAATTTCTTCTCCTCGGTAGATGGTATTTGTTTGTTGATCATTTTCTATATATACCTTCTTATATGAAATTCATACTACTGAAACCACCATTCTCTCTTTGCACTTCTACTACTCTCTTTTTACTTTTCTGGTACTGCCTTTCACTGTTCTCCTTCTATCTTCCTTTGTTTCCATTCTTGCTGTTTGGGTTCTTGCCTAGGTTCTTCTGGTTGCAACAAAAATTAGGTCAGCATGTTATTAGATAAAACATTTATTACTTCTATAATTGTTGTTTAGTGCTCCATTATATTGCTGGCACTATGCTACTCCCAAAATCTTTTTCTACAGCCTTGTCTTTTTCGTGCCAGGCCTCATTGACAGTCACACTACATCATCCTTCCACTGTTCTCCTTCCATCTTCCTCTTATCATGTTCTTGTCGTTTGGGTTCTTTTGGTACTACCTTTTACTCCATTGCAATAAAAATTAGGTCTCCATTTTCTGTTTCTATAAATTTTAAGTAGCTTTTTTTGCCTTCTACACAAATACAATCATGCATGATTGTTCTATTTTGATAATGTTGATTGATAAAAATAAGATCCTTTCTCCTCCACAAGAGAGATTAATATCTATCAAGGAATAAAAGCGTCAATTGGTATAAGCTGATAGGCATTGATTTTTGCATGGGTTCTTTTGGTACTGCCTTTTACTCCATTAAAATAAAAATTAGGTCTGCAAGTTATTAGATAAAACATTTATTACTTCTATAATTGTTGTTTAGTGCTCCATTATATTTTTGGCACTATGCTACTCCTAAAATCTTTTGCTACATTGTAATAAAAATTAGGTTTGTTATTAGATACAAAACTCAACAGTTTTATATTTCAAACCAAGTTTTTTTCTTCTGTATTGATATTGAACTCTAATATTTTTTATGTGTTGACTTGTCTTTTTTGTGCTAGGCCTCATTGAAGATCATATTGCATCAGCCTTCCACTATTCTCCTTTTATCTTCCTCTCATTCAGTTCTTGTCGTTTGGGTTCTTTTGGCCTTGCCTTTTACTCCATTGCAATAAAAATTAGGTCTTCATCTTTTGTTTCTATAAGTTTTGCCTAGCTTTTCTTGCTTGCTACACAAATACAATCATACATGAATGTTCTATTTCGATAATGCTAACTCATAAAAAATAAGATCCTTTCTCCCCCAGAAGAGAGATCTATATCTATCAAGGATTAAAATTATCAATTGGTATAAACTGATAGGCATTGATTTTTGCCTGGGTTCTTCTAGGACTGCCTTTTACTCCATGGCAATAAAAATTAGGTCTGCATGTTATTAGATAAAACATTTATTACTTCTATAATTGTTTTTTAGTACTCCATTATATTGTTGGCACTGTGCTACTTCCAAAATCTTTTGCTACATTGTAATAAAAATTAGGTCTGTTATTAGATACAAAACTCAACAATTTTATATTTCAAACCAAGTTTTTTTTCTGCACTGATATTGAACTCTAATATTTTTTATTTGTTGACTTGTCTTTTTTGTGACAGGCCTCATTGAAGATCACATTGAACCAGCCTTCCACTGTTCTCCTTCTATCTTCCTCTCATTCCATTCTTGTCGTTTGGGTTCTTCTAGTACTGCATTTTACTCAATTGCAATAAAAATTAGGTCTTCATATTCTGTTCTATAAATTTTGCCTAGTTTTTCTTGCCTGCTACACAAACACAATCATGCATGAATGTTCTATTTTGATGGCACTGACTGATAAAAATAAGATCCTTTCTCCCCCACAAGAGAGATTTACACCTATCAAGGAATAAAAGTATCAATTGGTATAAACCGATAGGCATTGATTTTTGTCTGGGTTCTTCTGGTACTACCTTTTACTCCATTGCAATAAAAATTATGTCTGCATGTTATTAGATAAAACATTTATTACTTCTATAATTATTGTTTAGTGCTCTATTATATTGTTGGCATTGTGCTACTCCCAAAATCTTTTGCTACATTGTAATAAAAATTAGGTCTGTTATTAGATACAGGGACGGAGCCAGGGGTGGTGGAGGGGAGCCATGGCCCCCCCTATGCCTTCAAAATTCCCTTTAAATCTATTTAAGTTCCACTTGTATTTTAGCCCCTTTACTCATGTTCCCTTGCTTTTGGCCCCCCCTGTTCATGTTTTCTAGGTTTTGCCCCCCCAAAAAAAAATCCCAGCTCCGCCACTGATTAGATACAAAAATCAACAATTTTATATTTCAAACCAAGTTCTTTTTTCTATACTGATATTGAACTCTAATATTTATGATGTTTTGACTTGTCTTTTTTGTGATAGGCCTCATTGAAGATCACATTGAATCAGCCTTCCATTGTTCTCCTTCTATCTTCCTTTCATTCCATTCTTGTTGTTTGGGTTCTTCTAGTACTTACCTTTAATTCCATTGCAATAAAAATTAGGTCTTCGTGTTCTGTTTCTATAAATTTTAACTAGCTTTTTTTGCCTGCTATACAAATACAATCATGCATGAATGTTCTGTTTTGATAATGATGACTAATAAAAATAAGATCCTTTCTCCCCCACAAAAGAGATCTATATTTATCAAGGAATAAAAGTATTAATTGATATAAACTGATAGGCATTGATTTTTGCCCGGGTTCTTTTGGTACTACCTTTTACTCCATTGCAATAAAAATTAGGTCTGCATGTTATTATATAAAACATTTATTACTTCTATAATTTTTGTTTAGTGCTCCACTATATCGTTGGCATTGTGCTATTCCCAAAATCTTTTGCTACATTGTAATAAAAATTAGGTCTGTTATTAGATACAAAACTCAACGATTTTATATTTCAAACAAGTTTATGATGTGTTGACTTCTGCACACTAGTTTTGAATTTTAATGTCTTCGATCTACTTCTCGTTGTTTAATATCATCACCTTGGGGAGTTCGAATCTACAGATGATGTTCCTTTAGAAGAAATTCTATACATTGTGAGTTGTGATGGATACCAACAGCTCGACTTCCATTCACTTAGTAAAATAGTCTTCCACGACCACCAAGAACCTCCTCTGCCCGGTGGAAGGTGGGAAGGGACCAAGAATACTTATCCCCCACTATGTGAATGGCCACAGGCTAGTAAGGTACCTCAGGTTAGCGAAGGCTTATTTGTTATGTTAGCATGCCGCTAACAGTTGTTGCACTTCCGGTCTAACTCCATTGCATCTGCCTTCATTGTGGGCCAGTAGTAGCCTTCATGGATCTCACGTAACACGTAGTTCGCTTCTATTTGTCACAACCGGCACAAGTAGGGGAGCATGAACGACCTGCGATACATTTGCTCACCAATGATAACATAGCGAGCGGGGTGTAGATTGTTAATGAGCGGGTCGATCCAACTTGGTTCTGTAGCCAAAATAGGAGCAAATGTAATTTATCCTCCTTATAATGCTAGGTTATGGCAGGTCTTCAATGTAAATTATCCTCCTTATAATGTCTGTCGCACCGACCATCTTTGAGAGCGCATTGGCCTCGATGTTTTCAGATGTCGAGACTTACTAGGTGTACCAAGAGCGGAAGTTGGGCAGGAGCTCTCTAACCTTGGCTAGATAGGCCGACATAGTCGACTCTCGGGCCTCATATTGCTCGTTTACTTGGTTCACCAGTAGTTGTAATACTACATACAACGAGATGCTTCACGCCGACCTCCTTTACCAATGATAGCCCGGCTATTAGCGCCTTGTGCTCATCTTCATTGTTTGAGGCTCAGAACATGAATCAGAGAGCGTACTCCAATTTCACTTCGCTAGGTCCGTAGAGGATTAGTCTAGCTCGACTTCCACACCAAGAGTCATCCACAAAGAGGATCAAGGGCACCACGTCCCAAGTTGGGTTGGGTGTCGCACTAGTAGTAGCCTTTGAGGTGGTCATAGGCTCCGCAACTCAAGGGTTAGTGTGCTTAAGGTACACTCGGTGACGAAGTCTGCCAGGATCTGTGCCTTGATCGCTGGGCATGGATCAAACTAGATAACGTATTCACTGAGCTTGATTGCCCATTTTGTCAACCTTTCTAAGACCTCGGGCTACTAAAGAACTCGCCTCAGAGGTCAATTGGTTAGGACTACAATGGTGTGGGCCTGTAAGTAAGGGCACTCTATTTGGGCTGCTAACACCAATGAGAAGGCAAACTTCTCAATATTGGGAAACCTAGTCTCAACAGCATGTAGGACCTTCCTCACATAATAGACAGATCGTTGCACTCTATCCACTTCGCAGATTAGGACCAAGATGACTACCTCATCACTCGTAGAGAGGTAGAGTTTTAGCTCATCTCCAAGTTTGGCCTGGTCAACAAGGGCGATGAACTTTAATACCTTTTTAGCTCGCCAAACATGAGTTGACACTTTTTGGTTCATTTGAAGTCTTGGTTATTTTTTATGGCTTTAAAGAATGGAAGGCACCGCCTAGCTGACTTTGACATAAATCGGTTCAGGGCGGCTATCCGGCCTGTTAGCCTTTGGACCTCTTTAATCATCCTAAGGGGTCTCATATCTAGGATGGCCTAGATTTCGTTCGGGTTGGCCTCGACGCCATGTCGGTTCACTATGTACTCAAGGAACTTTCCCAACAAGACTCCAATAACGCACTTATTCAGGTTGAGTTTCATGTTGTATTTTCTTAAAATATCAAAAATACAATTTACATAAGAAATTAAAGAATTTGAAAATTGGGTTTTCACAACCATATCATCAACATATGCTTCTATTTTATTATCAATTAAATCAGAAAAAATTTGTTTACAAGGCGTTGATAGGTCGCTTCAGCGTTTTAAACCAAAGGGCATAACTTTATAGCATTACAAGCCCGTTTCAGTTATAAAGGTAGTGTCTCCTAGTCGGTTGGATCCATTTGGATTTGGTTGTAGCCAGAGTAACTATCCGTGAAGCTCAACAGCTCGAACCTTGAGGTCGAGTTTACCAAGTGGTCTATCCTAAGGAGTGGGTAGTTGTCCTTTGTGTAGGCTCTATTGAGGTCAGTGTAATCGATGCCCATGCGCCATTTGTCATTGGCCTTCTTCACGAGCACTAGATTTGCAATCCAACTTGGATTTTAGACCTCTCTAATTAAGTTTGCTATGATGAGCTTCCCTACCTCCTCATTTACTATCCTTCACTGCTCTTGGGTGGGGTTCTTTTTCCTCTACCGGACTAGTCTAATTAAAGGGTCAACATTCAACATAGGAATTGTAAGTAGGGAGTGGTCTCCTTGAAAGACAGAGGAAGACTAGGAGCAGAGAATCAACCAAGAGGTTTGGGCCAGGGAGGTGAGGAGATGATTGGATAGGGAATCTGATGATAGGGTTGATTAAGAGTCAAATGGATGAATTTCGTTATGAGGGAGGGTCCATATTTAAAGGGAAGGATCTTGAGATCCTGAAAAGGAGCCAAAACCATTTGTTTTCTACTAGGAAGGAGAATATTAGATTCGTTGTTAGCCAATAAGGAGTGCTGCTAGGGTTTCACCACGTGTTCTTATGGGATCTCTTGAAGGTTGACTTTCCTTTCACCTAGAGATCCTCATAACCCACGTGTATTACCGCCTTTCGCGTCTCACTTAACTGACATGGCATTAATGATGTCATCGCCTAATAGGTAGCCTTTTATTAAACCTATGTGGCACCCGGTCATGCATGTAACTTAAAGTTTCACGTGCAACCAATATTCAGACCCGATTTTGGGGAACCGTAGCTCAGTAACGATTCAGGGTTTATTGTGGGCGTGTAATGAACCGTGGGTTCATTGCAGACCTACGATGCACCGTAGGTTCATCACAGACCTGCAGTGTGTTGTAGGTTCATCGCAAGGACCGATTGGCTATGGGTTGATTGCAAGCGTCCATGTGGTGTCAATCCAGTGTTTATTGTGCTCTTAGGGACTTAGTGAGCACTGTGTACCTACATTAGCCCCCCTGCTTATCTGTAAGTGGAATCTTATTGATAAGCATTTTGTCTTTGGATTTGCTTTGAAGTTCTATGATGAGTCGATGAATACCTGTGCATTGGATTTGGAAATCTACTCTGTTTTGGGATTTCATGTGGTTAGTAGAAAATTAAATTAGGCTTCTGTCAGCCCCCCTACCTGTTGATAGGTCGGGAGTCGGTTACTTGAGCGGTCGTGTGTCTTTGTGTGTTAGCGTTTGTTCTTCAATTGGATTTCCTCTCTTCTGGAGTCTAGCCCCCTGTCTTTTGATGATTTGCTTTTTGTGAATGGGCAACTCAGCATTGGATTTGCGAGTTTCAGCCCCCTAGCCATTGATACGAAGGAAATTAGCAAAAGGCATTATCGTTGTTGTACCAATGTGGGCGGTAGTCCCCCTTGTGTGTCAGGGTGATGCCTTTTGTGGCTGCACAGTGTCAATTGAAAGTGTAGGTCAGTGACGGATGAAAGTCGAAGAAGAGATTAACTGACGATGACGTGGCAGGTATCATTAGCATTTTCCTAACTGTCATTTCGTAATAAATGCAGTCTATTTGTGCGTGTGACACGGATTTGATATCTAATATTTTAAGTGTCAGTTGATGACATGGCACTTTGCTTAAATTAATGCGCCATTTCATCCTGCCTTTGAAGGGCATATCTATAAATTTCTTTAGATTACTTTTTCGTTAAGTACTCGTGCTTGTTCATCTTCCTCAGTGTCGTTTGTCATTCCCGACATGTGGGAGCTGTGTTTAAAAGGACAGGGGTCTTCGTTGGATTGTCACTTCGTCCTCTCGCTATCTTCGTCAAAGTTTTACTCCACGACCCACTTTGTGCCATCGTTCTCATTTTCCAATTCAACCATTGTCTATCGGCCATGGCCCCATGCCAAAAGGAAGTTGAATGTCCCTTTGTTGACTTTGTCCGAGAAGTTGATATCGCTGAGTTATTGCTGAGTTATTGTCAGAGCATGAATCAGCCATGGTGACCGATGGGGGACGAGGTGTAGATAGCCAGTGCCACCTTGCTGCCTTTATTTTGTATGTGGCCTCCCGCTTCCTTTTCCCGGGGCTTTCCGACTATGGCTTGTGCATAGTCTTAGTCCGTCTTGCCATTCTCGCTGCTAGTGGCCACCAACTGTTGTTGGCCTTAATATTTTTTGGGGTATTTCTACGAACAGATGGACGACACCGTCCAACAGTTAATGGACCCTAGTTGTAGGAGGCACATCAGCTATGTTTGTATGCCATTTCTGTGGATGTTCTTGTGTGAACGCTTCGACCTCAACGTCACGCCTCGTCCTCTCTCCCCGATGTATGTCACTATTGCCACCATGTGTTGGCTTCTAGCAGGCATAAGCAATTCAAAATGAGTGAGATCGACCTGAGGTTGACTTCCCTTGAAGAATTCGTATGGAGGCCATACACCCAAGCCATCCGTCATGCAATGCCGTTCTGCGTTGGTGCTCCAATCCCCAAGGATGGCGACCAGCAATGCACAATGGAAGTCAACAGTCCTGGTGGGCGTGATGCGATTAGTAACTTGGTCCGGTGTCATCGCGTACCTTGATCACCCAGGTGAGGCTCAACTAAGTGCTTATCGACTAGACTAGCTACTTCGCCAGTTTGGTTACGATGATATGGGCAACCAATTTTTATGATCATCAAGAGGAGATGTCTTCTGGGTTCGATGCCATGAACATGCCGCCTTTCCTAGATTTCAAGGTTCCCTGTTGTAGGGTATTCTCGGGTTCAGGGTTGCAAATCCCTTCATTTTGCACACTTGTGCACGTTGTTCGAGGGTTTTCAAGAGCTGATGAGGTCAAACTCCCACCCCCGTCGTGTCTTAGCCCCCTTGAAGGTGAGAGTTTAGCTGCTCCTCCGTCACACTCGCCGAAGAACGCAAGGACGGAGCATGAGGGAAAGCACCCAATTTTGGCAGAGGGAAAGAGTAGCCACCCTCCTCCGGTGAAAAGGCCAAAGTCAGCAAGGGTGCCTCGTTGAACGCAGCCACCAGTTTTTCAACGACCTGCTAGTTCGAACGTGGCTTCATCGCATGCCGAACCAAGGCCAGGCAAGAACCCTCCGCCTCAACACCCATGGAGAATGATGCGCCAGACATGGAATCAATGCAGTCGGCGATTGTTGTTCCTCCACAGAAAGTTACCTATGTCCGTTTCTCAAGCGGACGTGTGAAGAAAATGGCTCCCCGTCCTCAGAAGAGGGGGCCAGTAGAAGAAGATTCGGTAAGGGAGCTTGTCTCTGTTCCTGTTGTTTTATTACTATTGCATCTAACTTTTCTATATTATGACTGATATGTCTGGTTTTTATTTTGCAATCTATGGAAACTGGCAAAGTTTTGTCAGGTTACTTAAGTTATGTTCCAGAATCCCCTCTCGAGGGTGTAAGTATGCAAGTACATGTATATTTGCTTTTCATTTACTTGCGCTTGGTTTATACTAACCATTGTGTTTGACCTCATCATAGACTCCTAGGGAAATAAACCCCTCTGATCCAGTTCAGCCAGTCATTAGGCGACTGCCACAAGTGGTGCAGTCGTCGCAGCCCCCACTCAGGTTCACAAGGCTACTGAAACTGTTGGCATCGATGACACGGCTCTAGATACTGTGGCGTGGGAAAAGGAAGGCCCACTAGTGGAATTCTTGTTATTAGAGGCACCTGACTAGAGGCGGTCAGCAAAAAAATGCCTTTATAAACTACTAAAAGAGGTAGCTTAATTTAGATAGCATTAGAGGCACTTTTAAATGCCTCTTAATTTTATTTTGTAATTTCACTTTTGGCCAAAACATTAACATTTCGTGCATGAGTTTTCTCCTCCTCTTTTCCTCGCTTTCATTTTTTTCTCTCCCGTTTCTTTTCCTTCTTCCTTTCCTCTCTTCTTCTCTTTCTCTCCTCTCGAGTGTGCAAGATCTCCGCCATTCGCAGTTCTTAGTTAGGGTCTCAATCAGTTCTGAGTTCCACCATTAAAGCAAGTTCTCCGCCATTGAAGAAAGTTTGTCTTCTCAGCTTCAACACCATTGTTTCTCAGAGTTCTCAGCTTCATCAGGGTTTTGGATAGGTAAACCTTTTAACATTGCTCAGCCTTTGTTGATGATCTGTGGTTTCCCTTTTGTTTATAGAGCTTGAATTAATTATTTCAAATTTTTGAGTTTTTAAATTCGTAATTTCCATTATTGAGCTTCACGGATGAGAGAGCTCGTGGTATAGTGTAGGTTTGTGCAACCTACTTTGGAATTTCTTTTGTAGGTTTGTGCAACCTATAGTGTAAGGACGAAACGGGAAGAGGGTCGTGTCGTGGTAGTTAGGCCGGAATACAGCAGACGGATAATGTACGAAGTCCGGCAGTGAGGTACTACTGTTGGTTGCTTTTCGTTGTTTGCGTTAGTTGGTTCTTTATATTAGAGATTCTGATTTCGTCATTGGAGAGATGGGGCTTTTGTTGAGAGAAGCTCTGAGGTGTCTCTGCGGCGTGAGTAGATGGTCGTATGCGGTTTTCTGGAAGATCGGTTGCCGGAATCCGAAGCTTTTGGTTTGGGAAGAATGTTATTATGAGCATGCATGGTATTCCCTAAAAAGTCACCTTTCTCTTTCTTAGCTTGGGTGTCAAGTGGATGAAGTTTGTTCTCTAGTTAACAAGATGACGATAAATAACCAGGTCCATGTGGAGATGCTTGGTGAAGAACGGGGATTGTTTCTTGAGATTGCTGATATAATTAGAGGGTTAGGGCTGACCATTCTGAAGGGGGTAATGGAGACCCGATTTTGGGCATGATTTGCAGTTGAGGCAAATAGGGATGTGACAAGGGTGGAAATATTTCTTTCGCTGGTGAGCTTGTTAGAGCAAACCATGAAGAACGGTTCAATAGCAGCCAAAGGCATTGACAATGGCACAATGATAAAGCATAACAACTTCCACCAAGCTTCCTTTCCAGCAACTGGTCGGGGGATGGCAGTGAACTACCTCGTAATGGTTCTCTTGATTCCGACGTGTTGCAAGCAGGCTTGAACTTGATGTTGGTCTGCCATGACTAGCATGAAATCTGGCATCTCGGATGGTTCTAACACTGAGTTGTTTGGCTGATTTTTGCATTTTGTGAACCCGACACTAACTGACCTCTAAGGGAGGAGTGGTTTAGGGTGGGTAAAGCTCCTCAACAGCGTGGATAGGGGCAAATTTTCTTTGCATGTTTCTTGGACCTAGAAACTAAAGCCAATATTAGGTCTGGTATAAAGAAAAATATATCTACAGGTTCTTGATAGCAGTAGCACAATGACAGTGGCCAGTGGGTGCCCTTGTTTATCTAGAGATGAGATAATAGAAGAAGGGGGTTGTTTTCTTTTCTTTTTTTGGGGAAAAGGCTTGTGTTTTGATAGTAGTCCCCCTCTCGCTGAACTTGGGGGTATGGATGCAGTGTCTCTGACTATTTTAGTTTTTTGGTTATAGTCTCCTTTGTCGTAGCTGCATGTTAAATGTAAATTAAGGGTGGGAAATGAAAATCAAAGGGCTGAGGTGTATATTTTATCAAAAAAATATATTAGCTTTTGTTTGGATTGTATTAAATTCGTTCAGATATGTCCTGGCTATTGGATTTGATTAGCTTGATCTATTAGGGTCAAAAGTGTTTTGGTTGGAATTTAGTTAGTTGGATTTAGTCTTAGAAGCGGGCTATGGCATGCTTCTTGGTTGATAAAATATATAGGAACATGCTAATTAAGAAAATATGGACAAAATCAGTTAAATACTACGATTTTGGGGTAGAAATAATATTTTATGAGAGATTTTTTACTTTAAATTGTTTTGCTTTTTTTAATATTCAACTAAATAATTAAGCTTTCTTGAATTTTAGAGAGCATTGTAAATTTGTAACTAATATATTTTGTTTTTTTTTTCATTTTTTCAATTTTGAAGCCCTTTGCATGAGGCATATGCCTCATGAGGAGGATAGGTGTTTTGGCTCTGCCTCACCTCAAGGTGTGTCAGTGCCCCGCCTCAAATTCTTTTTTGAATTGTAGTTGTGTGTAATAAAGTTGGGAGATATGGAGAAACTTTAATATTTATGAAGAAGATGATGAGCTATTTGTGTGGCACAATTGGTATACAGAGAAACTTATAATCCGTAGTGAGAGAGAGAAAGAGAGAGGAGAAAGGTTTAAAGCTATTCGTGTGGCACAGCTAGTATCACCTCTACTTATTCACTGAAACCACCTTCACAGATTAAGAATATAGGTTTGTTAGTCAAGATAAGGGAGGGGAGAAAGGTTTAAAGAAAAGAACATTCAATGCATTGTTTGGATGACCTCCAAACTTGATTTTTCTTTATGGTTTTACCATTTTTCTTCCTAATTTGTCTTCTCCAGTTGCCACATTTCTATTTGTGATATTTTGTGAAATTAAAGGTCATATTCTTCTTTAAATATAAATAATTACTATCAATTTTTTCTATCGTGCAGTCAGAGGAAGTCAGGTTATGTGATCAAGAGGAGCGGGAATAGCTTGAAAGGAACATAAGAGAAAAAAAGGAGTGTTGTTCGGATCTGTTCTCTCATTTGTTGATAAGGTAAGAACTTGGATTTTTTATTTTTGAACTTTAGAGTTTAAATTGTGCATTGGATTTTGTCATGAATTTGTTGAATGGTGATCATGGAATGGATGGATGATGAGAGGGAGGTACTCTCGGACATTAGGGGTGGAATGGATGAATGGATGCATACATTGGAGTGCTTTTTCTTTGCATGTGACATTACCCCTGAACCCATTCCCTGTAACCACTGCAACCCACCACCGAAAACTAGCATGAAATCAACCCCGAAACTATCAACCTTGATCCATACCATTGCTGCAATTTGTAGCAGAAAACCTACTCAAACTCAGTCCAAAACCTCACCCTTTGGTCCATGTTTTTATCTGAACTGTGGCTGATTTTTTCTGTCTTTAATAGTTAATCTTCAGAATAATCAAAGGCCATCACTAGTAGAGGAAATGTGAAATAGAATGTGGGGTATGAGTTGATTTGAGCAAATGAACAAAGGTATTAAGCAATTTGTTAATCTAGAGGGACTCTAAAATTAAGATGCAATAAAGTTTGAATCTTCCATGATTTCCCACCCTGTGGATGGAAGGAGTCAATTCCTTTTGTTAGAGAATAAAACCTATTCAATGACCTCACTTAACAACTTAAGCTTTTAGGTTTAATGGTTCTTTGAGACCATTCGTCTCAAGAAATCAAATTAAAACAAAGAAAAACAAATATCATTCTTATGTTTTGGGCCTGTAAAATTTTGATTATGACATAAAATTGAGTCATATAAATCTCCAAGAGTAGTTAATGAGACACAAAACTCTTATATATAGGTGTTATATGATGGATATCTCTTAATTTGTTTGAAGATAGGGCTCTTCTTAAAAGCTTCATCTCCATTAATGTGTTAATGTTACCAAATAAACTTCTTCTAATAGGATTGGTCCTTGATTGGTTGAAATCTCTGAGAGTCATTCCCTTGACCTTGAATGTCTCCAAAAGCTTTTTTGTTTTTAGTTTTGGGTGTGGTTGGAAGAGTTGAAAATTTGTATAATGAATTGGAAAATCTCCTATAGGAGAATATTTTTGTTATCAGTTCTATTGGAAAATAATTTTAAAATATGACATCATGTATTCCTTCTCTAAATATACTTCTGTGTTTCAGTTGATTCAATTGATGCAGAAGTGAAAGGCGGAAAGGAAAGTTGGATCCATTCCTTACTAGATTTGTATGGTCTATCCAGAACGGCTCTTATTTATTTTAACCGCTCTGTCTGGTAGCTGTTATGACGAAAGAGCAATCAGATTACACAAATCCATTTGAATCTGGCTCAATTCCATTTCCCTGTGAAAATCTGCAGCAAGTCCAAACCCAATTAATTGTTGAATTGAGCCCAAGGGCCACAACACTAAGCTTATTCTAGCAAGCCCAAGAAGTTGGTTGCCAACTCATGTAGGTCTCATGTGATTTTTGAAATAGTAAAGATTTTTTTTTTCTTAAAGAAAGATGATTTTATACGAAAGATTTTCCCAGTATAATTTGATTGGATCATCAAGGTTTGATTTGATACCACTTGTTTTCTTAATATTTGAGCACTTTTGAGTCCTGTCCAGCTTCTTTTGTTGGGTATACTTAAACTAAGCCTCAAAGAAGCAAGATGAGGGTGTCTAATTCCATTTTGATACTGGTCTTTCTCAACCCATCCAGTTTGAAATTTGCCCCTGTAAGAGTAACTGAGCCTGGGAAGTCATACTTGGAGTCCTGTTGGGCCACCAAGTCTTAGATTTCTAGGTTGTTGAAATCGCTTTCCTCATTTGGGAAGTCCATGTGTTGTGTGTTCCACTCTTCAAAGGCGTGTTAAGTTCGCTATTTGTTTGGTTTCCCATACTGGTATCACCTTATGTAGTTGACATTTTAGTTTTACATTTAAGATAAAAAAATAGCTAGAGGCCGGACAGATCTTTCCTTTTCCATGTGGTAAAAAGATGTGCTTTGATACTTGCACATGAGAAATGGGTGTAATGGCACATGAAAAAATTAATAGTTTACTATTTGTAATGTATAGCTTATTTAAATCTAATATACTAGGGCATAAAAAAATCTACAACTTGTACAAGTGCAATTTCCACTTCTGAAACTAGTTCTTATAGTGCAAAAGATAATGTTTGTCTTTAATAAGTATGAGGCAGAAATTTACTAAGCACCTCATCAACAATTTCATTTACTGAATTTAATTTTTATTTAGAAGCAAATTTTTCTAGTTTAATTGATTCCTTCGATTTGAAAAGAATGAATAATTTTGATATTTTAACCTGGTGGAGTGGATATGAAAAAAATTATTCAGCCCTTGCCACCATGGCACATGATCTACTAACCCCTTTGGTGTTTATAGTTCCATCGAAGTTTTGTTTTAGTGCAGATAATAGAGTGCTAGATGAGAAGAGAAGCTGCATGAATGATGAAAGTCTGGAGATGTGCATATGCTTCAAAGATTGGCTAAATGTTGAGGATAGATTACTATAGGGGTGTTCACGGGTTTGGTTGGGTCGGTTTAAATCATTTTTGATGGAGCGCAATCCGGTCGGTCCTATCTGTCAACGATCTTGCCTCTGGCTGGAGCAAAAGGTGCCTGAAACGGGGAAGAAAGCGAATAATCTCTGGGGAGGAGCCGGGTGAGAGTGCTCCGAAGCTCAAGTTAGTATTTCCTTAAAGGCAAGATGAAAAACCAGATGGCGCAAAGTTATCACGTACCTTCCTTCTTGGGGGGAAGATGGCCTTTTATAACCACTTCGCACACTCACTCCTAAGCTTCTGTCAGGTCGGGTATCATTACCTCTGCACTTCTGCCAGTTCGGGTGTCATCACCTCTGTTAGGGCAGATAACCGCCACTGCTCTCTTTATCGGAGCCGTCTCTGTGACTGGAGGTGGCGGTGGCAAGTGGTCGTTGAAGTGCAGCTGTCAAGCGTCAGATCCTAAGTCAGGTGCGTCGCCTTAGGATACGGACTCCTTTAGTGTCAGGTACGGTTGTTCAGTTCGGCGGCCTGGAGACGAAGTGCTAGAGTGGTGTGCGAGGTGAAGTCTTGAGTTCGGGTAGAAGTGTAGCCCGAGCTGCCTTGGGGTGGGCCAGTTCGGGTTGTTGGGGCTCCTTTTGGGGAGCTCGGACTGCTGGTTCCTCCTCTCGGAGCTCGCGCCTTGAGCGTACTGCCGTGTCGAGCTGTTGCTTCTGTTAGGCCACCCTCGGTTGTTTCCATGTGTTGGGTGGTCAAGAGGTCGGGCCAAATCTTCCTTCATCAATTGCCCCCCACTCCTCGCGCTAAGGGGCTTGCCCTGGCGCGGGGAGTTCGCGAGGTGATGGGTGAATTTGACTCGTACTTCGAACCGTTTGACTGATAGCGCGAAATGTGCGTTCGTCAGGAGATTTCCAGGTTCCTCGAGCGCCAAAAAGTCAGGAAACGCGCCAATCCGTCTTTAAATGCTGGGAGATGTGACAGCGCGCGTTATTTCAAATTTAAAAAATGCGCTGCTGGGAGATGTGATAGTGGGCGTTATTTCAAATTTGAAAAAACGTGCTGCTGTTGCCTTCAATGCTGGGAGACGTGCGCCGATGCTGCTTCAGTTTCAAAAGACGTGCGGCCAGTCACGTCTCGGTCTTAGGAGGCGTGCAGTCAGCTTGATCGTGGGTCGTTGGATTTGCCTTGATCAGAGCCATCGGTTTTCGGTCACTGTGGGTATAAATAGTGGGGGACCCCCAGTCGCTTTTCATTGCCATTCTCCTGTGTTTGCTTCTTGAGCCCGTGCCCAAGTTTTAGCTCGCGCCAACCTTCCATAGTCTGTTTGCTTTTTCCGGGTGAGTGCGCACTTTCTTCGAGGGGGTCAGATGCAGGTTCTACGAACCGAGCTGCATCCCCCGACAGCCTTAGTGAGCTCGAGGTAGAGCTCGAGGAGGAGCTCGAGGAAGAATTCGAACCCGTAGGCCGAGTCACCTCGGGTAGTTTGGCGTCCTCCTCCCGTCAAGGTCGGACGTTAGACAAGTTTGGGCCCTCAACCATGATGCCTGAGGGGCCTTACTCCCTTATCACCCAGTTCAACCTGCCTAGGGAGTATACTTACTTTATACCCTCGGGCGACTTCCCTTGGGAACACGGTCCTGATGAGATCGTGATATTCCAGGAGCAGTTCGTCGCCGGGCTACGCCTACCTTTCCACCCTCTCATCGTCGAGGTTATGAACCACTTCGGCGTCACCGTTGGTCAGCTCCACCCGAATTCTATCCGTAATTTGGTTGGGACTATCTCCCTCTTTTGCGAACATATTTTGCCTTTAGACCTGGAGATCTTTTCTTCCATTCTAATGCTTAAGAAGCAAGCGGGTCCCCTTCCCGGGCGTAGGCGGGCATACTACCTGTCACCTTACTCGGGGTTCAAGCTTTTACACGATCTTCCCAACAAGGTCCCGACGTGGAAACGGGACTACTTCAGGGTACAAAGTGCAACGGGGTGACCGTTCCAAACTAGGTGGGGGTTGGCTGCCCCCGACCCCGGTGTTACGCTAGATAGGGAGACGGCGAAGGGCCTCCGAGAATGGGCTCGGCTTGGGCTAAAATGCCACAATTATCTGACAGAGGCCAAGCTCATCCAGGCCGGCCTGAGTTCGGGTAGGTTCCTTGCTCAGAGGCTTGCCTTTTGTTTTGCTTTTTGTTCTTTCATTTTCTTGATGCCGAGCTCTTTTTGTAGGTGTGATGGACGCAGAAAAGACTCGCGGTGGGAACCCGTTTCATGTTATGAAGAGGAGGAAGCGAGTTGCCAAATGGACTCATGTCGAACTGCCCCGAGATGCGGAGCCCGAGGTACCGGGCTACCCGCCAGTGGATCCGCCCAGGGAGCCCGAGATGGCCCCTCCAGTACAAGAAGCGGCAGGGGCCCCTTACGCTGAGGCTGCTTATACGGGTGCTCCTCCTTACACTGAGACTGCTTATACGCAAGCTGGGCCTTCAGGCTCGAGAGGCCAAGGCGAGTTCAGGAGCATGCTGTCGTCGAACCACGCTCTTCAAAAAAGTAGGGAGGCCATTTACCCCGAGGAGGTCACGGCTTGGACCGATTGAACCATGTAGCCGGGCGTGCTGCCTCTTATGCCATGGTGGTAAGTCAGCGACTTCTTGTCGGGCTCCTTGTCATTACCTTTCTCGTTGTTGCTCATTCTCGTTATGTTTCCTTTTGGTAGGTGAACTCCTCCATCCATGCCTTAGCGACCCAAGCGGAAAGGAGCTCGAGGCGGGCACGAGCTGCCGAAGAGGCTTCCCGCGCTGCCAAAGTGGCTTCTCGTGCTGCATAGGATAGGCTGGCGAGGTCTCAGAGAGACACCGAGGCCATGGGAGTGGTGGTGAAGCACATGGCGGACTTGATGCTGGACTTACAGCATCAGGTCGAATACCTTCAAGAGGATATTAGGGAGATGACAGAGATATTTTCTCAGGGCATCAAGGATGCCAAGAAAAGGCTGTTGAAAACTATCGCCTCGCCGCGCTTTAACGACTTGATGGTGGGCTCGTACAGAAGGGGTTTTAAATTGAGCTGGTGGATGATCAGGAATACGTACCCCGAGCTCGACATCAGCGCCATAACTACTTCGCGCATTACTCAGGAGATGGCCAATGTGGCTGATGGTGAACCGGATTCTGAGGATGAGGCAGGACCCTCGGGTATCGTTGACATGCCTTCCGAGGGTGAGGACTGAGATTGTTAGACTGCTGGAATGTAAACAGAGTATATATATATATATATATATATATATATATTGGAATGTAAACAGAGTATTTTGTAATGAAACGTTCTTTTGAGTAAGTTGTCACCCTCTTTTTTCCGAACTGACTATATTGCCGAACTGACCATATGCCTCTGATGATGAGATGCCAAGGTCCTTATCAGCTTGCCGTTATCACTTTGCCTGTCAGCTTAGTGTTAGCATTTTGCCTTTGCGTGCCCATGCCGAAGAGGTGACTAAGTCTTATGGTGCCGAGGTCCTTGTTAGCTCGTCATTCCAACCCTCAGGCTCTGATAGCGACTCCTAGTCCACTTTGCTTGGTAATTTATAGGTAGTATCGTCTTAAATTAACGACGTTCCACGCTTGGGGTACTTGTTTGCCCTCTAATGTTTCGAGCTCGTATGCTCCCCTGAGCGCTCTCTTTACTCGGTAGGGCCCTTCCCAATTCGGTCCAAGTTTGCCCACGCCGGGCTCGGGTGCCATGATCTTACGGAGAACCAGGTCGCCGATGCGGAAGTTCCACTTGTTTACTCTGGCATTGTAGTACCGAGCTACTCTTTGTTGGTAAGCTGCGGTCCGGATGTACGCGAGATCTCTTACCTCGTCTCAATCGCCCTTAACAAGAAACAGTTTCTTGAAAAAAAAAAAAGAAAACAATCTGCGCAAATCTTGAAAGAACACCTTCTATCCATCTGCGCAGGGTCAGATCTGATTTTCTTTTGGTTCAAGATTCGAACCT